GGGCTTGCGCGGCACCTGCGGGAGGGCGGGACGGGCTCCCGCCCGCATCGCGCACACATATATACATAAAAACAGATACCGAAATGCATATACACACACACACATATATATATAGGTGCATGTGCAGCCCGCACCGCGCCGCTGCGCCCAGCGCGGAGCGCCCCGGGCAGGTGCGCGGCCTCCGCGGGGAGCCCCCTCCGAGCGCACAAACAACGCGACATCTACGTATGTCATTTTATTTTTTTTTTGTAAAAATGTTTATTTAAACCTTTTTTTATTATTATTATTTGTCCTTTTACAACAATAAAATATTGCGTCAATATAAACCCCCTTGACTAAAACTGGTCGACAACCAAACGTTACAGCGACTCATGTGTTTCGTTGTTTTTTTTTCTCCGACACCTATTTAGTTTTTTTTTTCTGAAACATTTTTTTTCTTTTTTTTTTAAACATAATGCGGGATTTATTGAAAATAAATAATTGTTGGCAACTGCAATAGGCAATTTTGGATAAAATAGTTGAAAAAAGCAACCTTTAATGAAAATAGCGTTTATTATACATCAGTTACTAAATGAATAAACTAAATGATCTTTCTTTAAATTAATAACTTCCAAAAAACGTTTAATATACAAAACTGTACAGTTATAAAGTTGGCAGAAATAGGCAGGTCCTCAGTGTTGAGTTTTTTTTTTAATTATTATTCTTTTTTTCTCTTTTTTTTTAAGCGCTTACTGAAAAATACTGGAAAAATATAAATGTCGAAAGGAAAAAATCTGAGTGCCGGGAGGGGGGTCGGGCCCGGCTGCGCCGGGGCCCGCGGAGCTGCGCGCTCGCGCACACGACACCCCGGTGTGACTGTTGCCGTGGGGGTGTTGTGTGTGTGTGTGTTGCTGTGTGTTGTCGTGGGGTGTGCGAGGGCGCAGCCCGTCCCGGTGCGCGGCTGCCCCGCGGGCTGGCGGGGGAGAGGGGGCGGCTGCAGCTCGGCACTTCCCTATGCCAAAAGGTTTATTATTATTATTGTTATTATTATTTCAGAGTTTAATTTAGTAATTTTTGTTTTCTCTCTCCCCGTTCGCTCTCAGGGAAGCGCCGCAGCGAGCCCCGCACCTCCCCGGGACGCGGAACCGGGCTCAGCGGGACCGCAACGCGGGCGCCTCCCGCGCCACCCCCGCGCACCGCCGACCCCTCGGACCCCTCGTCCCTCTCCCCCCTCGAAACAAAACGCAGAGAAACTGATTTCCGAAGCCAAAGCGCGGGATCCTGAAGGTGTTTTACTACAGACCTCTCCGTCTGGCGCTGCCCAGAGCCCGACACATCTTCGGAAAGGAGCAGGACGGGCAAAAGCCGCCGGTTTGGTTGTGATGCTTAATTTCGGTTCTCTATTTATTCAATTATTTTTTTTTTCCTGGGAGTTGTCGGTGTTGGAGGGGAAGAGAAGGGGGGTCAGGATCGTAACCCGACCGTTATTACTATTAATATTATTTTCCCGTGTGAGGAAGTTGTGGAAAAGGCAGAGAAGAAGCAGGGAGCGACGCGCCCGCTGCCCGGGCGGCCCCGGCTCCTCGCTCAGCGCCCTTCCCGGCGAGGGAGGAGGGTTTGCCTGGTCAATTCGGTACAAATTAGGTCACAAATATTGTGTACAGTTTGTAGTAAAACACCTCAGACATTTAAAAACGCTATATAAGTCTTTAAAAATGCAAAACTAGTCTATTGTAAAACAGATTCACCTGAAATACAGCTGATATAACCAAGGCGCTGGAAGGTTATTCATAGGCACACATCTGTCTTTCCTTTTTTTGTTGTTGTTTTTTTTCCCGTGGGTTTCCTTTTTTTTTTTTTCCTGTTTTTTTTTTTTTTTCTTTTTCTTTCCTAAGCGGAGACCGAAAACAACCCTCGTCTGCCAGTAAACGATACGTACCGATCAGCGAAAAGGTTTGAGAGAGAAAAAAAAGAAAAAATAAAATATTGCCCAGACGGTGAGCGGGAAGGAAGGAAGCCCCCCCCGGGCTCCAAGGCTCCCGCTCGGCTTCGCGTCCCCCTCCTTCAGCATAAGTTAAAAGCCCGGCCGCAAATCCGCGCGGCCGCAGTCCGGCCCGCTGGTCAGAGGTCGTGGCAGCCCGTGTCCGTTTTGACGCCGTGCGCGTACTCAGAGGTCGTGGCAGCCCGTGTCCGTTTTGACGCCGTGCGCGTACACGTCGTGTGGCTGCTGCTCGCCCGGCGGAGTCATTCTCTTCTCTTTTTGCCTCCTGTTGCAAAACCAGACCCGCACCACCTCCTTCTCGAGCTGCAGGCTGTCTGCCAGCGAGGAGATCTCCTGGGCGGCCGGCTTGGGGCACTTGAGGAAGTGAGTCTCCAGCACGCCCTTGACGCTCACCTCGATGGACGTCCTCTTCTTCCTCTTCCTGCCCTGCGCCGCGATCTTGTCGATGCTCGTGGGGCTGCCCGTGGAGGAGTCGGCCTCCTCCAGCCACTTGTTCAACAAAGGCTTCAGCTTGCCAATGTTCT